TGCCCCGGGCAAGGGACACGGGGAGGCTGCAGGAGACCCCGTCATGGATAAGGAGCCCCTTGTGTCCCAGCTCCATCCTCCCTCGGGTGTCCCGTACTGAGTACGGAGTCGTGGATGCGGCTCTGCGCAGCGTGACGTGGTTTCCCTTGCAGAAACGAGCCATTTTTCTCATTTTTAAACCCAGAATTTGCCCGGGATGATGCTGAGGAAGGCGAAGGGCGAAGGGGGAAAGGAGCCAATGGGAAGCCACGAGCATAGGAAATGGCATGGGGAAGGACATGGATTGGCTCATCCCATGAGACGGAGGCCTCAAGGAATCCAAAGGTCGAACCCTCGGCAAGGAGAAGAGATTCCCGTGCAAGGAATGCGGGAGAAATTTTGGCCAGAGCTCCAACCTGATCGTGCATCAGCGAATCCACACCGGGGACAAGCCCTACAAGTGTCACGAGTGCGGCAAGTGCTTTCGGCAGAGCTCCAACCTCATCGTGCACCAGAAAACACACGCGGGACGGAAGCTCTACGAGTGCCCCAAGTGTCACAAGTGCTTCCCGGACCGGTCCCTGCTCATCCGGCACAAGAGGATTCACGTGGGCGAGAAACCTTTCCAATGCCCGCAGTGTGGGAAAAACTTCATCCATGAATCCCGGCTCCTTGTGCACGAGAAGGCGCACGCGGGAGAACAGGTCTACCCGTGTCCCGAATGCGGGAAACGCTTCCAGCGCACGCACACGGGCGAGAAGCCCTTTCACCGCTCCCAATGCAAGAAGTTCTTCCGCGGGAGATCCACGCTTTTCCGGCACGAGCGGCTGCACACGGGCCTTAAACCCTACGGATGCTCCGAGTGCGGCAAGAGCTTCGGGCAGAGCAGGGACCTCGTCGCCCACCAGCGCTTCCACACGGGTGAGAGGCCCTTCCAGTGCTCCCAGTGCCGCAAATCCTTCAGCAACCGCTCCAGCCTCATCCGGCACCAGCGGCTTCAAGTGGGGGACAAGCTCTACAAGTGTCACGAGTGCGGCAAGGGCTTCGGCCAGAGCTCGGACCTCATCGCGCACCGAAGGACGCACACGGGCGAGAAGCCGTATCCGTGCCCGGTGTGGACCGCAGGATCAGAGCTCCATGGGAAGCCTCCACATTGATGTAAAAAACTTTATTTAGCAGTAAAAAAGATTTTACTTAAGGAAAACGCCACAACCTGACGCAGCACGAGGGATGGAGGAGGCCCATTGGACTCCCCCATGCCAATGCAGGTCCACCAGCAGGAAGAGGGAGATTGAGGCCATTTAAGAAGAGGGGATGAGGCTGGGGGGTCCCCTCGGGTCTCTCAGCCTCCTCCGAGCATCCAAACCTCCATCCCGGCTCCAGGATTGGGACTGGAGCCTCCATGGTGCCTCTTTGCCCTCAGTCATTAGCCGGTCCCTGTGCTGGGGCAGAGTTGACCTGAGTCTCTTCTCCTGCAGCACCAAGGAGAGGAGCGAGAGGGGTGTCTGGAGAAGGGTAGGAGGCCTCGGAGGCTGGAGGGGAGGTGGGATGGGGTGAGGATGTTGGGAAGGTGCTGGCCTTGGGGCACACATGGACTTCTCCTTTTTTCACCATCAACCAAGGGTAGATCTTCTCCTCAGGGAATGAGGTTGCCCTGAATGTGAAGATCTCATCCCCATTAGCGCCACTGACAAATGTCACCTGCTCTAGTATGCAGTCCAGAACTACCCAGATCCTCTTGGGAACTGGAGACAAGGACAAGCGGATGCGAGAGGCTGTGAGAACCTTAAACGTTCCCTTCTTTTGCTGCACAGCCCAGATCTTTTCTAAAGGACTGGGAGCGATCGCTGTCTTCCTCCACACAGACTCAGCGGCCACCCCCATGGCCCAGTGTGTCTCATCACCCACCTCCCCCTCCACTGCCCAGCAGTGTCTCCCCTCGCTGAACCCCTCCCGGCCCAGCACACAGCGCAGTCGTTCAAATCTCTCGGATCTGTATGGAAGGTTCTGCCGTGTTTCGGTCCATCTCACACTTCTGCAGTCCTGGGACAGCATGAGTCGGGGATGAGCTGTGTCTGGATCCAGGAAAACCTCCTCTGCAGGCACAAGAGGAGACAGGGAGATGGGTCAGACTTTCATCCCTATCTAGGGCTGATCCTCTTAGATTTTGAAGTCCTTTTTGTTTCTCCCACTTCACTGAGGAGGGAAACGACCTCTCCCTCCACCAAGGAGAAACAAGATCTGGTGGCCTCAGGTTCATGCTCTAATGTGCAAGTCCTGTCCAGACATAGACAGTCTGTTCAGGACAGGGACAGCCCAGAACTGCCCGGGCCTATTGCCCCATGCACAAACAAAGAAAGAGGAGAGGACTTTCCCTAGAAGGCAAGGACCATGAGAGGACAAAACCCTAAACGGATTTTGCCTTTTTCTGTACGGGAAATGACCCTTCTCCACACTGCAAGGAAAGACAAGAGTCAGTTACAACACAGCACCGGTCCCCATACAGGGACACACTGAGGGCCCGTGAGAGGGTCCAGCCCTGTTCTGGGCACTCCGTGGTGGTCACAGTTCCCTGCAGATCTCACTAAGGTGACCCCAGACGAGACACCCGGCTGGTGAAGAGGGACAGGGCAGAGCACCCAGAGCCGGGCAAGGGCTCAAGGGCGTTCCAGACATCTCCAAGCTCCTCCTCACTCAGGACAGAGCTTGGGGGTTCACTGTGGAGATCTGAGAGCTCACTTTGAAAGGCCTCAACCTGGCACTGCAGTCGGGAAAAGCTGCTTCAATGCAGGAGAGATGAGCTTTCTGCAGAGGGTTTTTAAGTGAAACCAGGTAAAAGTCACTCACCCAGCTCTGAGGTCTTTACCACTGAAAAGCAAAATGAAAGGAAGAGCCATGAGCAGAGGAGCTTCCCATTGCCAAATGCAATCGCAGAAGAAGGCATCACTGGGG